CCAAGGGAGCTGACGGCATCCACTTCCATCTCTCTTCAGAGGGTACGAGGTCGGGGTCGGGTCACTACAGGGTCCGACCCAGATGATCAACTTGGACTTGTTGTCAAGGAAGCCGCGGAGAAAAATGTTATATATATATATTTATACATATACAAAATACTCCCCAGGTTAGAGGATTCACACTGGGATTCACCCTAACCGGGGGGAAACCATATTTTAATGCACCAACCAGGCCAAGAAGTTGCTTGGTCAACGTCTTCTTGTCAAAGTCAACCCTTGGTATCTCGGCCTTCCGACTCCTTCGTGCCTGTCGAAACTACACCTTTTCTATTTTGTTTGATAGGATCATGTCCCATTTTCTGAATACAAACTGGAGACTTTAGGTTTACTCACAACGAATCCTCGGTTTCCAAAGGCATCCGTCAAAGGGCTCCTTTTCTGCGCAACGCTGACACGAGCAAAGCAAGGTCCGAGAGCGCAGGCGTTTTGTTCGAGGTCGGATGGGGTAATGGGGTGATGTCTTAGGATCTTTGGAGGTCCAGGCCATGATGACTATTGATGGTTTTAGGATCTTTGGTGGTTTTATGGCTTTTAGGAAGGTCAACCCCAGATGTGAGGTGCAATGAGATGAACGAGAACAACGACCCGACCCTCCTGGTATCTAAATACACAAAAGATCCTCAAAGAGTGTCCAAGCACCGTCATGATCCATGGGTGCCAGTGGATCCATGCATGATTTATGGCATGGACCCACACCATCCATGTACAGCAAAACACTGGGGTCAAACATGGGGGTGAATGTCTGTAACTATTCCAGTCCCATGGATGCGTTGGGGGAGGTCCCTCATCGCCGAGCATTGGATTCTAAAGACGAACTGGCGGCCAGAAGCAAGCGATGAATCCAACTTGGAAGGCAGTTGATTCTTACGAAACGTGTTGCTAGCATCCAGTCTCAGAATTGCTTCAGGAAAAATCTAGAGGACACCCATAGCTTTTGAGGTGAATACCCTGAAGATTCCTGAATTATTGTTTAAACAAATTCTAGCCATCCAAGCGGCTCAAATCCGCCGTGTTTTTTCGCACAGTTTTTGCAATGCACGCATCTTTCCATCCACACATCACCCAAACAGTCCACGGAACGGGAAGTTGATTTAAATTGGTTTACCTATAATTGACAAGACACCAAGGGTGTTGTTTGGACACTAAGGGCTGGTTAATAAACACCCCTTCCCACCAATTGGCACCCCTTACACCCCCACCTTGATCAGCACAGGCTGCCATTCCGGATTGATTAGGGTCAAGACCCCTAATGTAGACTCTTGATTAATCAACCCCCCGGATTCCAAATCCGGCTTGCACCGAACTTGCGTGCTTGTTCCGCTTTCTAAACTTCACCCAATGTGTCTCCCAACGTCACCTTCTGTCTCATCGCTGGTGATCCTCAGTTCTTTCACCCAGGACTCCCTGCATTCTCCGAAGGCCCCGATGGGCACTTTGGGACGTCGTGACCGGTTCGCGGGCGAACACTCGCGCGAAACGGCGGGCGTCCGGTTCGCCCGAAACGCAGCCCGCAACCCTGCTGCTGCGGAAGCGGTGCTGGGACTTCCAAAAGCAGGTTCAAAATGGTTGACCTGGTGTTGTACTCACCTTTTTTCCCCCAAATCATTGGTAAAACAATGGCTGCATTTGACCTGCCATAGTGATTTCTCGCAACCATCAACAACCATTGTTTGAATGGTCTGAATCCCAATGAGACCCGTTCCAAAGTAAACTGAATGAAGCAAGATGAAGCGAGGACCTGCATCAGTCTGGAACCACATGGGATCGCTTCATCAGTCAGTCAGTAGTCAGTAGAACCTTGTTGATCTGGGTCGTGGACGTTGTTGATCTGGGCTGTGAATGGTGTGACGCGGCGAATACCTGTTTTGCCCACTTCGATCCAATAAATGCAACCTTATTCAGAATTCATCCTTATTCCAAATAAGACCCTATTCCAACACCCATTAGCCTCATGGTCCTTACCAAACAACCATTGTTTTACGGCCAGCAAGTTTAGACTACAAAACCAGGTCAACCATTCTTTTAGTGATCGATCTGATGTCAAGAGTGTGAACGGTGTGCCTTCGATCTAATGCACTGACTTTACAGGATCTGCTTTTGAAAAGCAAAAACTTATCCGCTGAGCAAGTTGCTGAGGTGAGGCATCGAAACTTATAGAAACCTGAGGAGCTGCTCTCCGGTTTGCTCGCTACAACTCAAAAAGGTGATTTCAAGCCAAGTGGTCCCAAAAAGACCGAAACAACTTCCCAAGCCATGGCAACATGTAGCACCACAGCATGTCAAACACAATGTCAACATGCAAAGCACAGGTACACCATGCTTGGATCGGAACATTGGGATGTCAGAACGTCGATATGAGCCTCGGCTCTCACCATCTCGATATGAGCGAGTCTCCGGTGTTGATTCACTGGGGTCCGGGGTTGCTTTCTGCGCCGCCTCCTAGGAGCCAATTGAGCCAATTTGGGCTGTATGAATGAAGTAAAGGAAGTTCCCGACATCAAGTCCAGTACCGAAAAACATGAACAAATAAACAAACCTGGACCCTCCGTTTTCTCATCGCTTCGTGAGAAAACGGAGCCAGTCACCACCGGGGATGGTAAAAAGAACGGCCCATGAGGTCCCGACACGAGGCAAACCGTGAAACCCATCGTTGTAGAATGAACACCGTGTTTTCCATCCCTTCCACGACGCTTCCCCCAAACACGACCGCCATCTGGGACTGCCAGGACGGACTGCCGATCACTTGACCCTTCTGCCGCCACCCCTGCTCGGGCCGGTTTCAAGGCATCAAATCGGCAGTCCCAAACAGGTGGTGGACCTTGAGAACGACCTAGCCCGATTGGCATCTGGACCAGATGTCGACCAGGACGTTCCGATCAAGTCGACGACGGTTTCGGACCCGGTCACCTGGGTGGACCTCTTTTCTTGGATTGAGAGGACCAATGGCACAGACCCCAATGTCGTCAGGTGGTCTATGTATGGATCCCCATCTGTCTAGGACATCATGGGGGTCTGTGCCATCGAACCTCTGAAACCACTGAAAAATGAACGGATTCCTCGCGCGTGGACTGGCAGCCATTTAGACATAGGGGATCATAGGGGTGGTTGAAGACATAGGGGTTTGTCTGGAGTCTGGGGTGCAGTCGTGTCTGGTGGAGGAGGTTTCGACTCCACCAGCTGCCGCTGCAGGGGACTGCAGAATTGTGACCGCGGGCGCAACACCTTGGGATTCTGAAGGGGCAAACCAGCTATACCACTCCGTTTTTGAATCGAAAAGAGGATGGTTAACAAAAACGCAGAAAGAAACACAACAAGTTTTTCTCTGAGAGGTCAGCTCCTTATCTCCGATTCTTGTGCGGCAGAAAGCTCGTGCGCTTTCGACTTCATCATTTGCAATTTGGGTGGTGGATGTCGTCGCCCGGTGGAAATTGGATCACCACGTCGACGCTTCAACTGATCAGGTCAGAGACATGTCTCCTGGATCCAATCCATGGGACATGCGTGATCGATTTTGAAGCAGATCACCAATCTATGGGACTGGAAAGCTTGTTCCCTAAAATTGACCCCTATAACATGTTAAACCGCCTAAGTCTCATGATAGACCAATATGCCCGTCCGATAGTTAAGGTGTGTCCTAAAACCATCCCCAACCGAGAAAAAACCTCGATATTTTACATCAAACTCTGATTTCAGAGGCCTTAGACTCCAAGATCTTCCAAGAGGGTCGGAACGCCCGGGTCTTATTTATCTTATTTTCCAAATGCGCAAAGGACACTCACCGAGCGGAAATCATCAAGGGCTCGAAGTGATTGGGTCGGAAGTGGAAAATGGTCGGGGGGCTCAAGGGTTTGTGATGGTTCGTCCTTTGTTTTTTCCACCAGTTCTTGTCTATATAGTGTGGTGTCCCCAAGCGCCACTATAGGGGTCATGAAGGTGTTCCACTTTTACCCTGTAGGCCGGGAAAACGATTCTCCTCCTCTAAGCTCCCGTGATGTCTTCCAAGTCTTGATCGGCGATCGAAACGGGCGTAGAAACTGCGTTTTCGCCGTGAAACACCGCGACGTCTTTCATCCACAACCCATCTTTCCGGCACATTTGGCTCATGAAAGGCTCCAGGTCAAAACGAAAGGCCTACGACGTCGACTGTAGAATAGCCCCGCCACGATGTCGTGCAAGGGAGAACCATGTGATTGAGCAAATCGAAAACGATTCAGACATTCAAACCATGCCAAGTATTGCCAAACAAAGCTATGCCAGCACCACGGAAAGGGTGGTTCGTAAAATGTGTGTCAACACCCCCCCTGTCTATGTCTATATGTTCCAAGAATCGTCTAGCTGGAAAGTGCTGGTAGGCCATGGATACCGTTCGAACGGGAACGTTTAGGTCCCAACTCCGAGGTGACGTGAGCTGACGTGACGTCCAGGGGCATAACGCTCGCTGGATCTGATCATGATGCGCATTTATCTGAACATCGACGCTTCAAACATGAAGCGTTAAGTGACCTGCTAACCAGAGCTGCTAAGCAAAGATTATGATTTGCATAGTTACATATATAGTAAGTGACATAAACACACATATATTGTTTTACCTAGAGCCCAGACATGACCTCTGTTTTGATAGGAAAAGACCATGTTTTGGCTGCCAGTTCCAGGGGTCAATCAGGTTCTGGGTATATATTATAGGATATAGAGAGAGAGAGAGGTGAACATTCGTCTACAACCTTCGACCCCTACAAACCGGCACCCTCCTATCAATCGGTGTATCGATGATACACAGCCTTTCCATGCCTTTCGGTCCTGCTAGGACCTATATAAGTCTTAAGCAGATCTGCAGCGGTTCGTCCTGGTTTTAACCCAGAGCCATTTTAAGATCCTATAGATGAAACTGTTCCATCCTGTGGCGGTCTGAAGGCCAATACGACGCCTGATACCCCCTGAGGGCCAACGCGGACTTGTCAATGCTAGTGGCGGCAGGTCCGTCGCAAGGGTAGAAACACAAGGGGGGCCAACCAAAAAAGCAACTCCAAAGAGGAAGCCACCTGCATCCCCTAAGAAACCACTAGGGCTCCTGGCCCACCTCCTGAGGTGACTGGTGGTTGGGGTGGGTGGATTTGGGGGTCTAACCACCTTCTAAGGATATGGGCCAGGAGCCCTAGGGAACAATTTGATGTAATAAAATATGTAATACCTGGACCCTCCAGCAGAGATCAACAAAGGTGTTTCCTGGTGACAAGTCCGTCCAAACACTGTAATATTATAATACCTGTTGGGAAGTCCTGGTATACACCCGAAATCCTGCTTCAAAACATGGCCCTTCAACGTAGGCACAAAGAAGCAAACCGACATCCCGGTAGATCAAAACGTCTGTCCTCCTCCTTTGACTTGTCCCCAAGCTCAAAACAAGCTCGAGTTTATCAGAACAATTCAGAATAGCATGTTTCAAAGCATGCGTTAGCCTTCAATTCACCATAAAGATCTAAAGGATAATAAAAAGGCTTCCGTAACTGCAACCCAACCTCACGCACCTTAAAAACACTACCAGCAACTCAACTTGTCCGACAGGCCGGCTGAGAACAGGCATGTTCTGCCATGGCTCATGGGTAGATCTAGGTTGGGGGCACCAAGCTCGCACAGGCCTTCAATGACCACCAATGATTGAGATGGCATATGGGCCGCTTGCCCACCACCACCGCAGCCGCTGTCAGCGGCCGCTTGCTCACATGGGTCGCACCATGGGCACCATCGGCCTACAACGCGAGGGGAGTTCGGGTGGAAGTCTTCCGAAATCGGGAAAAACGCCGTTTCGTCATAGGCTTTGATGTGTGTTGATCACCTCTTTTTTGGCGTGTCTGTGTATGCAAACATCGTGACTCAAATGCCACCCTTCTGCCCCTAAGGCCCTACGCCAAGCCCCACCTCAGTGGAGGTCTGATCTGCATCTGTGGTGCTAGCCGTGGCGAGTTCAATTGGCCCATCGTCATCGCCTGCCGTGTGCGCGGACGTGGGCGATGACGAAGGGCCGGCCGAGTCGGAGGTCCGGACCTTCCAAGTCCAGTGGTTTGAAGAAGCACTCCATCTACCAGGTAGTCCGGTGGTCTATGTAGAGACACCTCTTGGTTTTGGGCATCGGAATCTATGACGTGAAACTTGGCGCTAAAACAACAAACCACGCGGCGTCCGCCATTTGACGCGGCCCTGCGTGTATAAGGGCCCTCTCGGCCAATTCCGGGAGTCTTTGGGTTGGAAAGGCATTCCCCTACACCTCCAGTCATACCTCCTCAGAAGGCATGACTGAACCCTCCAAACCCACCCGGGCCCCACCGAACCTCAGGTTCGGTACGACTGGAGGCCTAGGGTTCTGGTCTCCAGAGATACGTTACCTTCCCCGTGCGGAGGTCTTTTCTCGGGTGCCTTGCTGGAGGACCTGCTGAGGTCGAGGTTCGTGTCCCGGCATTTCACCCTGTCCAGGCACAATTCTTAAGTTGGATGTTGGATTCTTGACCGAACATATTCCCATATACCTAGAACTTCTGCTTGGGCCAAAAATGTATGCCCATTGTTTGATTAATTAAGATCTATCAAGCATTCCCGAGGTTCGGGGATTCGCCCACTTCAGTTCACCAGGTTCGGGAAAACTCAACCGCAAGTCAGCAGGGTATCCAAGTAATCGCAAACATGTTGGCATGGTAAGCCCAACATATCGCCCACTCAGATTTTCTACCGTCTGGGAGGCATGAACCCTCGAATCCTCTCACACAGACTTCAAAAAGCACAACTCTTCTGGCCGGGACCTGGTCATATATTCTATTATATAAAGCCACGGGTGTGTTTCTCCATTTAAAAGGGCCTGTCTCTATTATATAATATATAAAATATTAGTATTCATGGTCAGGTCATCCCCCGACACTCCATGGTTAAGGAATAAGTTTAAATTCCCTATGCCCCATGGTCTGGTCTTCTGCTGTCGCCCCCCTTTATGATCTGCACCTGCCCCATGCACCACACCACCTGCATCGGCATCTGTGGCATCGACTGCATGGCTTGCGCCGGCCTCGAGCGAAACGCCGTCAACCTACCGAGTTCTCAGCTCCCGTTGCTATGACCCCACAGCTATGTATATAGGAATCCGCCTGATTTGCCATGCTGGGGTGGTTGAAGACAGCAGTCCATGTAGGCAACAAACTTATGATAGTCCCATGTTCTGGGGTGCTTGCCAAACCAACCGGCGCTGGCGCCGCGCTCTTACAGGGTGTCTACGTGCCCATGCAGTCGATCTCACGTCCCTCTGCGGCTCCGGCAGCCCCAAAGACATGTCCCAACGCCGATCGATCGCGCGCGGTTTCGTGCCGAATCCCATTGCCGGCCCCTGCCTCTCTCCATGGTTTTTCATGTGGTGAAAACACCCCAAAACGAACACCAGCGTGAACCACCGTGTTCTGTCCCTGTTCAACCTCTGACAGCACCGCAACCTGTGGTGACTGGGAGCGGTGCGGTGGGTGCACCTCGTTGGCGAGTAACCCAAACGCTCCTGGACTAGCTTCTTGTTGCTAGCAGTACTGTCAGGAGCTACTAGTAGCTTCTTGTTCCTTTACTAGAGCAACACACGAAAGGCTTCGATCTCTGATCCTCCGGACTGGAGGGTTTCGACCGTTAAATACGTCCAAGGGATCGTCCAAGGCATCTACCTTGGGCATATCCCATGTCCCAAAACATTGGATGATGGTGAGGATAGGCCTTTCTCAAAAGAATTGCGATAGTCTTTGACCGGCTGTTGCTGGGCTACATGCTACATCTACCCCAAACACGACCTGTCTGAGACTGCACTGCAATTGATGCAACATTGACATCAACCATGATGACAAATAGGGCAGTCCCACCGGTGCCTTGGAATATATATCGCTAGGGCTCCTGGCCCATATCCTTAGAAGGTGGTTAGACCCCCAAATCCACCCACCCCAACCACCGATCACCTCAGGAGGTCATAACGGTCCGCGTTCGAGACCGGGGCCAGCCGCGTCATCACGTCACGTCACCGTCACCGTCGCCGTCACGTCACCCACATCATGTCACGTCAACGTCATGTCACCGTCACGTCACCCACATCATGTCACGTCACCGTCACGTCACCGTCACGTCGCCCACTACCACTACCACTACCACAGCAACAACAACAACTACAACAACAACTACTACTACTACTACTACTACTAAGTACTAACTACTACCTACTACCTACTAACAACAACTACTACTACTACTACTACCACTACTACTACTACTACTACTACGACGATGACTACGACTACGACTACGACTACTGCTACTACTATTGCTACTGCTAATGCTAGTGCTACTGCTACTGCTAGCGCTAGCGCTAGTGCTAGTGCTCGGTCTACTACTACTACTACTACTACCACCACAAAAACTGCTGCTGCTGTTACTACTTCCAACCGCTACTACTATACTATTATAATCAGGCTTACTAATAGAACTACTACCGACTACTAACTATTGCTGCTGCTGTTACTACTACTACGACTACTCCTACTACTACTTTTACTACCACTACTACAAACTATACTACCACTACCAATGACTTTTTCTCTAGAAGATTCGCTACTACTATCACTACTGCCAACTACAAAAACGACAACTACAAGAACAATTACTATTATTTCTCCTACATCTACGACTACAACTGGGTGAGCGCTGCTTGAAGGTTCAGAAAGTGCTGCCCTGGAAGTCGTGCTTCACAGTTAACAAAATCCACCAGCTTCCTGGGTCCTCGGCGCTTGCCATGCTGCGCCTGACGTGACACCTGCGCATCGAATGTCACTTCGTCGTGGGTGCATCGTAAACGGCAGCGCATCGTCCAGGTGCCCCGATATACCATAGGAATCGTAAGTGCGACCGCGCTGTACGGGCCAGACTCTTTGCTTCGGGCGTTGCAGAACATTCCACTTGCAAGCTCCAAGCTTTGTGAGCGCTCTGCTCTATAAATGATGTTCCCTTCTTTGTGTCCTTACTTGTGCCATACAGGGCGCAATCGTGACGCAATTGGGCTATCTCCAGGGACCGTGCCACTTGTGTGTTTGCCGGCCTCGCGCGGTCGTACCAAGCAAGCTTAATCTTTTCATCCTTGGGCCTTGTAAGACTTCGTGGACGTTCCTCAAAGCATCCGGTTGGCGCATCTTGCTGGGTGGCTAAATTTATGCTGCGCTAACATCTTCCATCGCTTGGGTTTCATCATCTCTCACATGTGGCCGAGCCATCGCTGTTCTTTGCCTGCCTCTCTGCAGCTGCCAAGAAAGCATTTTTTATGCGCCATGTGTATGACCATAACAACTTTTAGCGCAAACAGCATCCCTCTTGACTTCTGGTGGTGGCGTTGTCCATATTGGACGCTCCTCCGCAGTGAAAGACTCCATGTGACACCACCTGTGCGTGGCCTGCCCATTGGTCTATGATCCAAGTCTCGTTTTGGTTTCGGACGGCGAACCGCGAAAGGATTGCAAGCTTGGTCATTTTGAGCGTGAGAAATCTTCTTCACGGTCATTTGATGTCATACTTTCATGGCTTTTTCCGTATGTGCTTGGTATGCTGTCACTGTAACTTCAAAGCCTTGCTGACCTTGCTTACAGGTGAGAAAACGCTGCAGACTTTGAAGGCAACATCTTCTGACATTAACTCAGTGGCCGGCCTGCGTCTTTGACCTAAGCGCCGTTTTTCTTTCCAACGGTGTAACAATTTCCTATCGGCGCAGTAGCTTCCTATGGCTTTAACAGCTTCTGAACGGGGTATTGGCTTCTGATCTGCAGAACAGCTCGGTAATGGTGTAACAGCTTCCTAACGGCGTGAGAGCTTCCTTACACATCTGCTTCTTCCAAGTTTACCACACTCAGCGCGTAGAAAATGTACTGGCTCAACGCTGCGTAACAGTATTCTCTCCGCTTTGCGGTGCTACCGCCCGCGCGGCAGCGCCTGTATGTAACAACGACCACACCCAGAACAATAGCAACAGACTATAAACTACAACCAACCAGCAATCGCAACAACATCCGCGCCAGCGCTGGAACAAAACAGCAACTAAAACAACAACCAACAACATCCACGACGACGTTAACCGACAACAACATACAACACCCAACAACAAACGTCAACAATAACGCCAACACCAACAACAAGACAACGCCAAACACCAACGACATCCTCCACAACAAACACATCAGCGCCAGCACTGGAGCAAACGCACACAGAACCGCAAGAATAACACAAACAAGAACAACAACTACTACTACTACAACAACAACTACTACTACTACAATCACTACTACTACTGCTACATTACCTCTTCTACTATTTCTATTCCTACTACTACTTCTACTTCTACTACTACTACTACGACTACTACTACTACCACTACCACTACTACTGCTACTATACTACTACTTCTACTACTACTACTACTACTACTACTACTACTACTAACTACTTACTACTTACTACTTACTACTTTCTACTTTCTACTTACTACTTACTACTTACTACTGACGACGACGACGACTACTACTACCACTACCACTACCACTACCACTACCACTACCACTACCACTACTACTACTACTACTACAACTACAACTACTACTATACGCCATGCATGTCTGCCAACCACGTCACGTCACCGTCACTGTCACGTCACCGTCGCCCACGTGTCATGTCATGCATTTGCCCGGCAGTGTCACGTCCCCGTCACCGTCACGTCCGTGTGCGCGCGTCAACGAATGTATCCGCCCAGGTCACGTCACATCAGCGTCACCGTCACGTCAGTGAGCGCGAGTCAACGCATGTATCCGCCCAGGTCACGTCACGTCAGCGTCACGTCA